CCCCAAAACCCCAAAACCCCAAAACCCCAATATTCACTTTCCCAATTGAAACACCCACATCTCATACTCCTCCATCCAAAATATTCCTTCTTTCCCAAAGCTCTTACTCCTAGGACCAATTTTACTATTAACAAATTTAGCCTTCTGATAGATGATCCTTAAGGAAATTGGGGTTGTTCTTTAAGAAATCTCTAGTCGTCTCTTCAATCTGTTTCCGGATTTCTTCCTTCTGGTTATCCATTCACCTCCGGATTTTAGAAAGGATGTTCTGGTCTAAGGAATCTATTTTGTTTGCTAAACTGTCTACTATCATTTTGGTGGTGGCTAAGGAGGACAGGACTGGGTTCATCTCGAAGTTTTGGGTGTTCTTACTAGTGCTATCCAATGTTTTACGGGTGTCATGGTTCGTCCCTCCCTTGTTCCCTCCACTTATTTTGGAGGTGGAGTCATTGGGAGTTCTGATGTCTTTTGTCTCTTCGATATCAGGCGAAGCTATGTCTTTTATTTTATCTTCTTTGAGAGCAGTGTCGGTAGCACCGCCAAGGTTCGAGAAAAGAATCTGAGGAGAGGTCCTGCCTGACCTTGTAGCTGAAACAGGCTCCTCTTCAGAACTTTGACTTGAATCGGAAGGATATTTAGAGTCTTCATCTATTGTTTCGAATTCCTCTCCGTAATAATTTTTGACAATATCTCCTTCAGATCTGTGGCCAAAAATGTTATATTGATTCCTTTCATGTTCATTATTATCATTTGCCTCAAATTCTTCTGAATGAATGTTCAAATCTTTCGGGATTTTATCAGCGAATACAAAGACTCTATCTTGGTTAGTAATAGTTGCTCCTTCAGGGTTAGTCCATACATATGGAGATTTGTTGTCAGTTGCCCCTGGGAGCCTGTAAAGAGCAATAGCAATCAGCCCTTTTTCAAGTAAATGGAGGAACAGCTCACTGAAAGACTTATTATATAAGCCTTCAGGAGCCGGGATTTGCCATAGATTTGCATGAGTCAAATTCTGGAAAGTCTTCAACCATTTAGCCGTTTTCCTATCTCGTTCAGTTCCCTTGAGGATTAAGTTCAGTAATGAAACAATATGTGGGTTATGATAGCTCTGAGCGGTGATCGTATCAATAATCGCAGAGATATACACCATTCCTGATGCAAAAAGAGTGGAAAGAGTATAAATTTTATGCTTGTTTTTCTTTGGTAAAAGAAAATCTATTTTTGATTCATACACCAACTCTGTAATAATTGGTAACTCAGGGTTCAGCTTTTTAATAGCCTTGTAAATAAAAATACTCTGAGCATCCAGCATTTCATCATGGAGATTTGTTTTTAGAGTAGGATCATGCCCAAGAATCACTGCTTTATCTGCATTCAATATATTTGCTTTAATCAATGACTCTTGTTCGAGTGGGCTTCCATTGACTAAATGAATCATTGGGAATTTCTTAATCTCATCCCAGATATTTAACGGAATTGAGCCTTGAGACACAATGACAATGTGCTGATAATCCTGGAGATAACTAGCTCTTAAGGGCAATATGAAATGCTTTATAGAGCAATGTATTCCTCAAACTACAATATGATTCTTAATCTTCTTATCATTCTTAAGAGAGGTTGTCACAGTGGCATCCATCTGGGACTGGGCTTTGTTAAGTTTAAAATACGAAAACTCAGTGTCATCATTAATATCAAAGTTGACATATTCACCAAGCTCATCTTCAGATTCCTTCCTGTCTTGTTGGTCAAAGTTGATTTCTTTGCTGATATACTGCTGTTTCTTGTTTCCAAAATATCTTTTATTTATTATCCCTCGAGATACCTCTTAAGGTCTCTGTCTTCTCAACTCCAGAGGGACCCTCAGTGATGATAAAGATATAATACTTATTGTTCTTCATGTCTTCACATCTGAAGTTGACTGGGTTCAAGACAACAACTGATTGATCTTGAGACTCAATTCCAAGCGCAAACGCAATTATGCTAAACTCCTTGTATATTATCTTAGCAATTTCTTTGAAGGAAAGCCCTTCAAAGTTAGGGTTAAGAGATGTACGATAGATTTCATAGTCCATGCCCATCATGTAGTCCTTCAGCCAGTCTTTCATCCAATCTTTCTTCTCCAGGTCGCTGTCATAGCCTGCTCGGGAACTGGTAAGGTTGGAAAGTAAGGCGATTAATCCAGGTGCAAAGCAAGACTTTGCTAAGAGATTCATCTTGATTTCCTCTACAATGATCAGCTGGTCTTTTGATGGTATCTTCAAAGAAGACATGTAATGTATCTTACTCTCAGGTTTGATCAATTGAATTCAGAGCCTGATAGTTTTTCTGTTATCCTTATTTGCCTCAAATACATACTTCTTTACAGCTAAGGCGATGAGAATATTCTTATGGTCTGATGACTGTGGATCGCGAGAGTTTTTATTTGTGAGTATTATTCAATCCTTAGATTTATGCAAATCTCATTTCTTTAAACCAGCTTTTGTCAAAGGATCGCCATTCAGAAATGTTAAGAAAATTTCGTACTTAAGCTTTGTCCCATTCAGGAACAACTCTCATGCAGAGTTTGGGTCTCCTGGTTGTAAAATTACTAAGTTTCGTGTTGTTATCCCATGATCGTCATCAAATAGCTCATCTCAGAAATTTTTCAGAGCATCTAAAGTTACTTTCCCAGTGCAGATTATATGAGGAATTTCTAAATTAGATTTATAGATAGCTCTTGCATAAACACTTTGAAGTTCTAGAAGTCTGAGCAATTCACTTGTTTGTCTCGGAATGATTACAATTGTCACAATCATAACTCAAATGACAAATATCTTTCCAAGCTCAGTGTCAGGGTAAATTTCTCCATACCCAACAGTGGCAAGAGTTACAATAACAAAATAAATAGCTTGATGAAATTGAAGTTTATTGTCATCTTCTCTGTTCAAATTTTCAGAAATCATGATCATTCCTGCTGCAATATATACAACTAGGCTCAAAGTAATTAAGATGGTGACAATTTGTCTAGAAACTTCTGTTTCTCCTATTCTAAAATTCTTGATTAAGATTCTACTCCCGATAACGCTTCTGAGGATAAAGCTGGTAGACTCAAAGAAGATGTATGTATCTCCATTTCCACCTGGCATAAATATTGGGACTATAACAAAAAAATCTACTAGGCAATCCCTAGAGTACAAGAAAGGAATTCTGTGGGTTGAAATATAGAACCTCACGATTAAGTCAAAGATCAGTGTACAGATCATGACAAAATTCACTGCTCTGAACCAATTCGGAGGCTCATTGTCGAAGTACAAGAGTACTACAAAAAGTATTGAGATGATAAAACTTGATGCTCCGATTCACCGCTCAAATGTTCGTCCCCAAAAGTTGGTGAGATAGAAGGTTTCCACCTTGATCCTTAGCACCTGTCTATTTGCCTGACTGGTCGTTTGATTTATAAAATGAACTCTCAGAAATCGGCTTTATCTTCTTTGAGGTATGAATTGAAACTTCATTGGTTTTGGACTGCATTATTTATATAAAATTCAAATATTATTTAATTGCCTGGGGTTTTGGGGTTTTGGGGTTTTGGGGTTTTGGGG